CGCATGTGCCACGTCATTTTTTGGATGCCACGTAGTGTATTTTTTAACGGTGCCGTGACGGCCCGTTAAAATGTTGGGTTTTTTACGGGTTTTAAAAAGTTAAGGGTGTGAATAGGGAGGAAAAATTTCGGAAGGTGTTGACCGTGGAAAACAATTAAGTGTATGGTGCAAATAGGGGCTTTGGCCTTTTTCTTTTTTCTTTTTTTTTTTTCTGTCTTTTTAATGCTACAGTTTGGTTTTTTGGCTCCACTCAAAATTTTTAATTTCTTACCCCATTAATTCTTCAAGCTGAAGATTTCTTTTTTTATATACATATATTTTTCTGGAAGACCCCAAAGAAAGGGTGCCTAAAAAGTAGACATGGGTGTTTTAAATTATGAGACTAGCTTACAACCATTTTGTGGGAAGATTTTTACCTGGTTTGTTTAAGAACCTGATTTTGAAAAATATATTTTTAAAATGTGAAGGAAAAATGATTAATTTTTTGCTTATATTATAAAAAATTGCATTTGTGGTTGGGTGAGTTGCTGTGGTGTAGTGGTTATCACGTCAGTCTTACACACTGAAGGTCCCCAGTTCGATCCTGGGCAGCAACATGTTTTTTGGTTCTCTTCTTTTTTTTTTTTTTTTCACTACGCAAATTGCAAAATCTCTGCCCCGGACCGACCCGACCCGACCCATTAAAGCTCAAAGCCCAACATTCTTGGACCGCCTGGTTCTTTTTGGCCCTGCTAGGAATCCAGGCTTGCCCATCCAGAAGGAAGCCTGGGAAGGTAACCTCGGCCCGTCAAAGGACAATGAGTAATGTGAAGTTCCAACTTTGGTGTGTACGTTTGTGGGTTTCCTCTGGAGAAAACATTATACAAAACTTTGAAAGCAGAGGTACCCCACGTTCTGGCCAGTGGCATTTGCCACTTTGTTAATGGGCGGCACCTTTTTTCCCACTTTTCCCTTTATGCTTGGTGTTGTAGAAAAAAAAAAAAAAAAACCTTTGTAAGGATAAGATGAAAGAATAAAACATTGTTCCAATAGTATTTATTAGTTAGACATCTGAAAAATAAAAGAAAAAATATTTTAATATTATATTATTTTTTAAAAAATATATCATGAAAAAAAAATAAAATAATCTTATTATTACTTTAAAAATAAACTATTTTAATAGTATTTTTTTAATAATATAATTTTAAAGTTTTTCTTTTTTTTTTTTTTTACGAGATTCAGTCCATAAACACCTTTCCCATGTAGTAACAATAAGAAAAAGTAAAGTAATCAGTAAATTAGTTGAAGTAATAATAAGAAAAAATAAACTAATCCGCAATGCCGTGAAAGAATAAATTCCCTTATAATAATACCATGAAAGAATAAACTAATTAGTAAACCAGCTGTAGTTGGTTGAATTGGTAAAAAAAACTTTTATTTTGTTGATAAACATTTCCTCCTTTTATGGAGCACTATTAATTCCTATAATTAGTAAACCAGTTGTAGTTGGTTGAATTGATAATTTTTTTTTTTTTAATTTTGATGAAAAACATTCCATCCTTTTTATTTTTTTGATATATTTGAATGAAATATATAAGAGGAGATAATATTTTTTTTTTATCTAAATCCTTTCTTATTTGATTTAAAGTTTAAATTTAAAATTTTTAACTTAAAATTTCAAATTTTTAATTATTGGATTACTCATTTAGAAGTTGTTTCATCCTTTTATGAGGCACTATTAATTCCTATAAACAAAATAGTTTACAAGTGCCTATTGAATTATAACCCTTGTTATTAAGAAAAACCAGAGTAGTAACCTTTTGTTATTGGCAATAGATTCAAAAGTATACACACCCAATTCTCATTGGTTGGTCGGTTACACCAAATCAACAAAGCTAATAATTGGAGGGCTCCACCATTGAGGAAAGTTGTCCTAAATAATAAAAAATTTTGTCAAAAGAAAAGAACTAATTAGAAATTTTTTTTATAAGGATAATAGTTAGAAAGTTAATTTAAATTAATTGTTAATAACTGAAGATTTGATCTTCAGATCAGGTGAATATTTTACTTCTCAAATGAGGCGCGCTGTTATCGGACCGCTTTGGTGGAGTTCAAGTTATTAAAATGATATTAAAACTCGAAACTCTGACCACCTTACTCAAATATTTAAGGTTTAGAGTTAAACTATTAAGCTTAAACTATCGATTTAAACTAATTGGAATCTGAGTCAAAAACACAAGCGTTTGAAATTTACTTTAGTTGTCTGTTGTTTTCTTTAACAAAAAACCAAAAGATAAGGTGCAAAACTCGATCACGTATCATTATGTTCCATATATTATGGCAGAAAAACAGAGATAATGACGTCAATAAAAGCAAAATCATGATACAAATGAAAAAAACACAAATTGTATGATTTTCATTGAGAGTGATGAGCTGGCTTTGCTTGTTTTTTCAATGATCTTCATTTATTATATACGTGTCTTGATTTCAAGGACTCCTAAAATTGTCCCCTTTTTTTAGGGTTTATGTCTCTTATTTAGGTTCACATAGGGTGTGGTTTTCTAGGTTAAAAATTCAAAGTTAATTCAATATTCTGCACAAAAGTTTCAATGGGATTGAAATAAGTTTGAAAGTTGTTACCTCTCAACACCTTGAAATTGATGGGTTGTTCTTTTCCCTTGTCAATGCGAATAGGTCCATGTTCCAAGCTCAAGGCTTGGTGATTTTTAGGTCTCAGACTCCTGCATCAATCTTAGTATTAATTGCCCAAGTTCAAAAATTAGGAAGAGCAAGATGTGTATTAAAGATTATGGCCCATGGATCCAGTTGTTTCATTGAACAATTCGCACTTATGGTTGGAACAAGAAATTGAAGGCTCAAAAGTGACAGATTATCATCCGTTTTACTGGTTTTAGTATTATTATTATTATACAAATGGGGGAAAAGAGAAGTGGAAGCTGGAGATTGGTGATCTAATTAGGACTTCTCCCTTCAGCTGGCCCAGCATCAGCCTGTCTCATGATTTAGATGGAGACAATGAAAGGAGAAAATGGTGTGGGTACACTCATGAATTAATAGATAAGCAAGAAGACAAGATCTTTTCCAATTTCTCTAATGGGGTCTATCTCCTTTAGGGCTCCACCCAAAACACCCTTAATAACGAAATCTAACCAATCCATGTACTTACTTTCAAAGAATAATTGATTCCCACATTTAATGCTGCAACAAACAATCTAACTAATCAGACTTGCAGCTGTGATTCAAGTAGTCAGGCTAAACCTGTTGAGTGACTTGCCTCCACAAAACCCTCATTTCAGACAGGGATTTCTAGTTTGCACAAAAGGGCATATGTATTCAAGATAGCACATGATAGTACCTTCATATAACATTATCTCGACTACTCATGTCTGTAAGCTTACACGCCGATTCTTTACAGTGTATACAAACAGATAGACTAACCTCAAAATACAATTAGGCACAAAAGAAAGCAACAGAAGAGGAAAATCGAAATTCTGTTGAGTGACTTGTCTGCCTGCATCTGCTGTCTTCTTAGCCTGGCACTGCTATTCCCCATCAAGTAGTATGAATTTGGGTATGTGTATAAGCTTTCGGAGTTCCCAAACACCCTTGCATAAACCATCTCACCAAACATTCCAACCACTGGATGGTGGAATCCAGTCATTGTGGGGCCTGCAAGGTTAGGCATCGATGAGGATGAATCCTCTTCGTAGAATGGATTTGGGTTATGGTTCTGTGCTTGATAAGGATTACGATAAGGAAGCTGCTGACTGTTATGACTGGTAGTTGACAGAAGAGCTTGGTTACCGCAAGCTGGAGGTCTAGGGGGTATTGCCATGCCCCCATTTGGTGTCTTGCCTCCAAACTCAGATTCTGATTGGCCCCGGCCATAGAGGGGAACCATGGTGGTGTGAGATATATCAGCCTTGCAAACTGGGCATTGTGGGTGCTCATCAGAGGCTAGGGAGGCACTCTGGACATGAAGCCACTTGTAGATGCAGGGCCAGCAGTAGAGGTGGCCACAGAAGGTGACAACTGGCTCATGTGCAAAGTCTAAGCAGATATTGCAGTCGAAGCAACCGTTAAGATTTTCAGATGTTGTCGCTGGGATGTTCTTCCATTCCTGGCTATAGTATTGCTCAAACGCCATGGATCTGTCCCCACAACTTGTTTTCAGCCACCAGAAGACTTAGACTCTGTGATTGGTACAACACAGGTTAGTACTAATCTAAATTGATGATTGATGATTTAATAACTCAAGACATGATCCTGTGCTAGTGCTGGTATAAAATCTGAAACTGGCCTAAAGAGGAGATGAAGATAGAAACTGAACAATGACGCAAAAGCATATCTGGCAGTGAAAATTCATTAGACGCTTCAGGCCAAAGTAAGAAAAGCAAACAAACAATCAAGGCCCTACTGCACATCTTAATTTACAACAAAAGGGCCAAAAGCGCATGCACCTCCTCCGCAAGTTGCAAGGACCCACAACTTTGGATTTATATATTATAATCATGATGGTAGATAAAGATAATAGTGCAATTCTTATCAACAGAAGCATGACAGATAATGTCCAACCTCGTTTCCTTAAAATTTTCGTTTCTACAAGTAGAAAAATTGGCTTCAATTATTTTCTTTTCAAAATATAATTCTATTACTTTGACCTTCTGATTAAGAAGCCTTCAATCCCAGATTCCTATAGCTGCTGCACCCTTAAATTCTTTGTTTTCATTTCTGAAAATTTATTATCCTTGAATATCATCAAAACTAAATCTGTGCTGAAGAATAAATGAGTGAAACATAAATCAAAGTATCAAACTAAAGAAAAGAAAAAAAAAAAA